GTTCCAACACCGACCCCTGAGGAATTTAATCAACCTGAAAGATTTGTTCTTCCATGGGTTTCTTTCCACCTCTCATTTCTGTAGGAAACTCAATGAATCAACACCAAACCCTTAACAACCTGTTCCTTCAGCTCTTCAAACAAGTTTACTTCCATGCAGTTGAAGAATTTAAACTCTTCATAGCCCCAGCAACTCAGTCTATTGCCAAAACACCGACATCCTAAGCCATCGGATGGCCCTTCCTGGATATGCTCACACAGACTGTTAAGGTTTTCCAAGCAATCTACAGCTGCTACAGTACAGACAGAAGGTGCTGAAATGGTGTACCATCCTACTAAACTTTGTGTACGATAACCCACTCCTCGACATTTCCCCGCATACAGGATCTAGCAAAGCCGCTGTGGACATTCCTATAAAAATCCATTTTAGCTGACACGTGAGAGTGGATTTCAACCAACAGCCGTTCTCCTGTATACCCATTTACCTGAACTGATCGCTCAGCAGTGCCCGACAGTTGCCAATTACCACAGAGAGAGGTCGGAAATACTCATAAACTGGAAGCAGTGATTCCCATTTCAAACTGTTCTTCCCTATCGTCGTATCAGTTGTTTCCCAAACCCACCCAAGTCCGCAGTCGTTAGTCACCCTGCTGCCCAGGAAGCCCATCAGCTGACCCAGACTTTCCAGAAGAAGATGGAATTAGGCACTTTGGGGGAGGCAAAACAAACACGCCAGCCTGCTGAGCCAACAGAGTAGGTGCTCTCAGACACGCCAAGTCCCAGCCACAGACAGCAACAGCAATCCATCAGCGGCGGGTATTGTTTTAAAATCCCTGCTCTAGGCTATTCAGACTGCAATCAGACACAGGTAAATATTAACACATAACTGGCTATTCTGCTTTGGCCTTCTGTTACTATCAGAAGCCTGGGATTGCAAGATTTTTTCCTCCTCTATTAGTTATTCCTCATTTCCAGGTTTGCTACACGAAGCAGTTTCATAACAATTACAAGCAACCTCCTCAAGGCTGCATCGGGTCTGTGGTTGATGCTTCAAGTGCTGGGCAGGAATATTTACCATGTGGATGTGGTTATAAGCATCTGTAAGCCCGTCTTTTACGATCAGGTCTTCCAGCTTCACCCCTCCGTAAGGCGTTGATCCTCGGCTCATCGTATAGGGAACGTTAGACATGCTCTCCATCCCACCAGCAACCATTACGTCCTGCTCAAAGGAAACAACATCGGTAACAACGCAGCGTGTTCTCGACCACTCCTTCTAGAGACAAACACTAGCAAAAGCTTAAGCGTGAACGCTTTATATTTCCAAGGAGTCTTAGAGAAAGAGGAAGAAACCCTTTTCAAACTGCCTTGGAAAAGCCAACAGCAGGAACAGGTGAAGGCAGTCGATCCACCCTGAGCGAACAGCTGGACTCTTGTCTCATACGTAATTCCAGAAAGCTGCAAGAGCCGTGTCAGTCTCTTGCACTGGTACTTCAAAGGCTTCCAAGATCAAATTATACATTTTACTTTAGTTTCTTTTTCTGTAAATTTCTCATTTTTGTTCCTCACTAGCAGCCCCATATCCCTACAGAACAAGCAACAGTCAGAATGTGGGAGTTCAACAAGAAGAAACAGAGATTTACAAGTACCTGCAGTTTTACCTAATATCGTTTCATCTTACTGTGCAAAGAAAGATGACTTATAATAGGGTTTTTTATCATCTGAAAATGGCAGCAAAAGATGGAAACGTTAAGGATTACTGAACTCAAATGAAGCTGAAACATTATGGGCATTTATAAATTCGTATACTTCTCAAGCTGAGACAAAGCAAACAAACAGAACACCAAGCTGTAAGGACCATACGTGCACCTCCTGTCCATCAGGCTACGCCCCCAAAATCCCTAGGACCTCAGGACGTGAAGAACAGACACAGTTGTGTTAAATGGTGTACGTGAAACACGGATAAATACAGACACAGCAGTGTGAGTGTTTGAGAGTTCAACAGCACTGTCATATAACGCACGAGGATTTTACATCAAAACAGCAGTAAGACAAAGATTAAAGCTTTCTTGGTTTCTTTAAATTCACACTCAGAGAAATAATGCTTTGGTTTGGATAGATAATTAGTTCCAGGAACAGTGACATGAAGGAATAAAGAAAAGAAAGACGGCTGGTGACAAACTGGAAAGGCAGATAAATGGGAAAGGCAGCTGAGATACGGAAGCAGAATAGATGAGAGGAACAGGAGTCCCTGGCATTTCAATTCCAAGTGAAAGACCCAGAGGCAGAGTTAATGCAACTGTTTATCTGACGATGTACACTGGCTCAGGGCGCTGGCAACCATCACTGACTCACAGCACAGATACCTCACAGTCGGCAGCCAGGAAAAACATACCAAACCCCCACTAATCTACAGATCTACGAGACTAGGAGCTGGCCGAGTCCCCGCTTTGGCCAGGACTGGCAGCACAGCGTGTCTGATGAGCTCAGCTGGAAACGCCAGCGCCCTTCAGAGCGCATGGCCCGCACCTGTCAAACCAACCAAACGCACCACCACCCTCATCGAGCCGTCGGGTCTAAGTTGCTGGATCCAGACAGCGCTGTTTACAGGGACACGCTGGGCCTGGCTCAAAGTCCAGTGACAAGACTTCCAGCGAGTTCAGCAGGCACCGGACAAAGTGCCGCTCTCTGCAGAGCAAGGCCAAAGCAGTAAGAAGTTGCCTAACGCAGCTATACTGTTATTTTCACAGAAGGGACAACAAAACTTCAATATTTTACTTTTGTCCTTAAAAAAAAAAAAATAACAGCAAGTACATTTCTCACTAATGAGGCACTTTGTAAACCAAAAATGTGTATTAAACGGACAATATTTTCACTTCAGAGAAGGGGAGATGCTGCCAAAATGCTTTGACTAGGGAATTAAAACAAAAATTGAAATGTCTTTCTTCACATTCACACCTCTCCCATATTCTTTGTTGCACACCATTTACAGCTTGTGGAAGATGGTGTATTCTCCCATCCTCCCACTGCTGATGCTATTTTTCCCATCGTACAGAGACTCTTAGAACACAGTTGACAGAGATGAGCAATTTCCCACCAGTAAGCTCTATTCCACGGAAATGCTTATTCAGCAACAACAGATCCCACTTCTTCTGAAACAAGAATAAAAGCCTGAAACATCTTTAACGTACTTGGAAACATCGTTGCTTTAATATACGTATTTCATTCATTCAAGTGTTTGAAGTGTCTGAAAGTCCAGATGAAACGTGGTTCATCAAAAACTAAGCCTATACAAATTTCTTCACTTTTTCAAACCAGAAAGCTTGAAAATTCCATTAATTATTTTTTGGGGTTGGGACAGGAGAAGAGCAGTAAGGAGAGGGTGTAAATACACACACACACTTTAACTGCTCAGCTCTAAAAATACATCTGACAATTTCCTAACTACAATACTTACCTTTCTTTTCTGTTTTAAACCAGAACATGCTTAAATGACTATAAAATGAAGGTTGCATAAGCAAAAGAAACCCTCACTACTTAGCTTTATTATCCCAAGTCAAAACACGGTCCCCAGTCAAAGAGCACAGTCATTAGTAGGACAGCATCTACATTAGTTGTGTGGTTTTTTCCATAAAACAGCACCAAAATTCCCATACCTGGCTCCCACACATCAGGCTTTGTGCTGCCATCATGATCGATTTCATTCCTGACGCACAGACCTTATTGACAGTTGTAGTAGGAGTGCAGATTGGTAGACCTGGGTCAAAGAAGTTGTGCAAACAACTGTATCACTTAAAGGGCAGAGTAACACTTCACAGGTATCCAGCAGTATTTCATATGGGACCAATTTTTACCCATGCCCAGGGTGCCCAGCTTGCACTGTGTAGCCTTCCAGGGCGATTTATCTACCCTCCCCCCTAGCTGCTGTCCTTCTTGGAGACTCCTAGTGTTTCCTCCCCTCAGACACACACTTGTGATAAGGGAGCAAGCACTTGAGGAATCAGAGACAGAAGATCAGGGAAGTGACTCCTCTTGACACCCCAATCCCTGCCTCTGTGAAAACTCAAGATGGAAAGGGCAGAAACAAGCTGTAGAATTTCCCGGCTGGTAGCAAGAGACACCCCAGAAGGACAGGACTCTAACGCAAGACTGGAAAGGCCAGAAGTGCTGGGTGTGAGCCATAGGGCTATTGCTGAGTTGCTACCGAGTGTTCAGGGCAACCACTCCAGGCTCTGCCGTGTGCGGGCGGGCTCAGGACCGCCACTGCCTCTTCCCTAGGCTTGCTCTCCAGCATTATGACCAGCCACCAGCCCATCACCTCCACCCCACCAGTGAGACAGGGAAACAAGCCAGGGCAAAGAGAAGAATCATATTCATCCCTTTGCCTCACATGGAAGCAGTTCCTTCTTTTTCAAACAATACAGGGACAGAGCCAAGAAAGTATCCAGTTCTTCCCTGACCCACAGACTGCATCGTGCTAAGGTATGGAATCCCTACAGCAAGAGGGAGAAGAAAACAACTCCTGCACCCGTGTAACATCTGTGCTGCAGTTAATGTGACAGAGTGAATCCTTCCAGGGACAGCTCCAGACTCCACGGGAAGGTGAGTGCAATGACATACTCGCTTCTTTCCACCTCGTTCATGGAAACTCCCTGAGCCCTTATCCAATAAGGCTTAACAGTAACGATACACTGAAGGAAAAAAGTCTGTTTCATGAAAGATTCAAAGAGCAGCATCCCTCATTATCGTGAAGAGCTCCGGAAGTAGCAGTCTGGTCTGCAGTATGGGCTTCTCCAGGTCTGCAAACACCGCGGGCAGCAACATCCACTGAGCAGGCGAACGTTGATTCCCAAGGACGCGCAATTAGGGCCACTTACACGAGTACAACGTATACCCTTCACCCACTACGGGGGAGAGAGCACACACAGGCTCTCCCGACAAACGGCTGGGCACCACTCTGCTTTAACTCGGAGCTCAGTAATCTACACTGTCTACATAAAGACAGAAAACCTTTAACCCCAGAGACAAGATAATTAATACCTGCACCCAGGACTGCTTGTCTTGCTGGAGCTTGCCCTTGTCCAGCCTGCAATACATTGCCCATATACACCTCCTTCACTTCCTCTGCAGGGATACCTATAAAACAAAATTGGTTTGATCCAGGATTCTTTGCATGGACGACATAACTCCCATTTATGAACCTTCCCGTTGAAGTTTCCTGTCAAAGATGGATGAAACATGCTACGTCCAACCTGTGTGCTAAAAGCAACACTCAGGCTCTCCTGGGGGCACCCCAGACCCTCACCCTCAATTCACAGGACACGACGAGCTGGTGACCCCCCGAAGAACAGCATTCCCTTGTTACCCTGCGGAACAAGCTACAGTTAGCTAACTAATGCAAACACTTCCAAGTCTCACTTGTCATCTGAGAAGCTCAATTTCCATGGACAGTTCAAGGCACAAAGCTTTCTACCTGCCCCAATTATGTCTAAAGAAACAGTTTTGTTTGTTTAACAGGGATGAGGCAAGGCCACAGCTAGCTACCCCCAGACAGGAAGGCCTGCATCTTAACAGCCCTGGTGTTCCTGCATCATATGCTGCTTCAAGAAGCCAAATTTGTAGAAAATTAACCCTCCCCTCCCCCTAAAGGACTTATTTGCTAATTGGAATCCATCAACAGTCCTGCAAGCATAAGCACCCATATGAAAAACAGGCAGGGAAAGGAAGGGCCACTGGTTCCAGCAATCAGTAGCCTTCGCATCAGCTTAGGTGTGTCATAAACCCCCACCCCAGAACAACAATTAGCACATTCAATTGGATTTGGATTAGCACAGATGTCCCTAAGTAATATTCTGCTCCTAGAAGCAGCACTTAATTCAGACTGAAACAAAGCCCAGCAGTCAGTGTAACTTAAATACCATTTGTGGATAAAGACTTAAGAGAACCACAGGATTTCTGCTTATCAAGCAACTCAGGAGACAGAGACCGACACCGTTCTGAGCCACCTGAGGTTTTCTTTGTCACAGAAAAAATATTTACACATACCTGCTCTGTCAATTGCTCCCTTAATCGCAATGGAACCAAGTTTAGTGGCTGGCAATGAAGAAAGAGATCCTTGGAAAGATCCAATCGGTGTCCTTACGGCGCTTGCTATCACCACCTCCTAAGAAGAAAAGCATGGAGTAGAAGTCAGAGCCTCTCTCATGCGTGCACACGTACACCAGTACTTCTTAAATTTATCCACTCTTTACTCTTTCGTTCACGCCAGCTTCCCTTTCAGCCTGCAAGTGCTTCAGAGCACCAAAGTAATCTTTATTAATGCACACAGCATGGGGAACAGATGTAAGGAATTAGAGCTCTGTGTGCAGTTGCGGTAATACAATTTTGTTGGGATCACGAAGCTGTGGTGGGATGGCTCCCATGGAGGGACACAGGTTCTTCAGGACAAGCCAAGGAGAGAGAACGGCTGGAGTGCACCGAGCTCAGCCTTGGGATGGATGATGCCTGAAAGAGTCCCAGGGCCCTGGAGAGGTGGAAGCTGGTTAATATTTGAGGATTACCCCCTCCAAGCTCAAGTGCAGTCCATTCCAATGAGCAGGAAGTCAGGTAAAAATGCCAGGAGGTCTGCATGGATGACCAAAAAGGAAGCATACAGAAGGTGGAAGCAGGCACACGAAACCTGGGAGACACTGCCTGAGCATGCAGTGACAAGGTAACGAAAGCCAGAGCCCGACTGGAATTGAATCTGGCATGGGATGTCAGAGGTAACAAGAAGAGCTTCTAAGAACACCCAGGAGGCACAAGTAAGCCTGGAGAAAATGTGAGCCAGCTGCTGAATGGGGCAGAGGGCCTGGTGACACAGAACATGGAAGAGGCTGAAGTACCAAACGCTCTCTTTGCCTCAGTCTTCAGTAGTAAGATCGGCCTTTGGGAATCCCAGAGACCAGGGGGGACACGTTTAGAGCAAGGAAGATGTACCCTTCTACCCTGTAGAAGATGACCAGGCCATGGGCCCTGCTGTGATGCACTCGTGAGTGTGGAGGGAGCTGGCAGATGTCTTTGTAAGGTCACTCTTGATAATCTTGGAATGGTCACAGTGATTTTGAGAGGTGCCTGAGGACTGGAGGAAAGCAAACATCACTCCTGTCTTCAAGAAGGAGAACCCAGGGAAGTACAGGCTGGTCAGCCTCACCTCAATTCCCAAGAAGGTGATGAAACAAGCTAATCCTCAAGACCATTTCCAGGCACATGAACAACAAGAAAATCATCAGGAGTCATCAGCATGGATTCACCAAGGGGAAGTCATGCTCAACCAACCCGATAACCTTCTACAGCGAAATGACTGTCTTGGTAGACGCAGGGAGAGCAGAGGACATTGCCTAGACTCCAGTAAGGCTTTCAACACTGTCTCCCCTAAGATCTTTACAGAGAAGCTGTCGATGGATGGGCTGGATGAGCAGTGAGGGGGACTGAAAACTGGCTGAATGGCTAAGCCCAGTGGGTGGTGATCAGTGGCAGGAAGTCCAGCTGAAGACCAGTGATTACTGGTGTACCCCAGGGGTGAACACTGCATCCAGTCCCATTTAACATCTTCATTAACGATCTGGATGCTGGGGCAGAGCGTATCCCCAGCAAGTTTGATGGTGGCATCCAGCTGGGAGGAGTGGCTGAATGCCAGGGAGTGCTGCTGCCATCCAGAGGGAACTCAACAGGCTGGAGAAATGGGCTGACAGGAACCTCAAAGTTCAACAAGGAGAAGTGCAAAGTCCTGACCCTGGTGAGGAACAATCCCAGGCACTGGGACATACTGGAGGACACCCAGCTGGAAAGCAGCTTTGCAGAAAAGGCACTGGGGGTCCTGATGGACACCAGGTTGAACATGAACCAGCAGTGGGCCCTTGCAGCAAAGACGGCTAATGGTATCGTGGGCTGCCTCAGGCAGAGCACTGACAGCAGGTAGAGAGAGGTGATCCTTCCTCTCCGCTCAGCACTGGTGAGGCCACACCTGGAGTGCTGTGTCCAGTGCTGGGCTCCCCAGTACAAGAGAAACCTGGACATGCTGAAGAGATTCCAGTGAAGGACCATGAAGATGCTGAAGGGACTGGAGGATTTGAAATAAAAAGAAAGGCTGAGAGAGCTGGGACTGCTCACCCTGGAGAAGAGAAGGCTCAGGGGGACCTCATCCATGTATATTAATTCCTGAAGGGAGGGTGCAAAAGGGACGGATCCAAGCTTTTTGCAGTGGTGTCCAGGCACAGGACCAGAGGCAATGAGCACACACTGACACACAGGAGGTTCCCTCTGAACATCAGGAAACATTTCTTCACTGTGAGGGTGACCAAGCACTGGAACAGGTTGCTCACAGAGGTTGTGGAATCTCCATCCTCTCAAAAGCATCCAGGTCCCAGCATAATGCACAAGCGGTGGTTTAACACATGGTAGGACATTCAGGTCTATACTCAGTACCCCCTCAAGAAAGATTTACTCTTATTTTGCCTCTTAGTGCTACATCAGCCTGTCTACCCGCTAACCCTGTGAGAGCAACATGAGGACCTGGCACCAAAGAGATGCCTGTTTCAGACCTCTGGCTGTGCCGGGACAGCTACTGAGAAGCAACAATGAATGCCTCCAGCTGTGCTGGTGTGAGTGGAAGTTAGACACAAAGCTTTACAGGGTCTCACCACAAGTCCTTTATTTAGAGGGAGAAGCAAAAAAACTAAGAGACAAGAAGGTATCCAAACAAACAAAAAGACAAATTATGCTTGTTTCAAACCCAAAAGTTCTGTCTCTGTAACCTCTTCATCATCATGATTGAGTTCAGTGCTCCTAACATACTTCTCATCTTTCACCCTGTAACAGCAAGTTGCAGGCTCACATACAAATAACCTCAAGGGGATTAGTGGGCATCAGCTATGTTTTCCAGTAAGGGGCAGGCAGCTGCATTAAGCTGGCTGACACACTTGTGTCCCACAGTACCTAACAAGCAGCAAGCCAAACAAAAAAGGAAATCTGACTTTTATTCCAGATTTTGCATCAAGGTGTGACTCGGGCACAAGTCACATTGTCCACCAAAGAGATTTTCTGTAGTAACTTTCTTTAAAAAAGCATCGGTGATTAAGAAACAGATTTAAAACAGCAATTTACTGCAGTCAGATGGTGCTTTATACTTACATTCAAAGTGCGCTGCGATGCGTAGCCACGGCTTGTGTACTTCAAAGCCTGAAAATAAAAAAGTCCTCAGAATTCCATATGGAGAAAGCCAATACTATGACACTTCAGCCATGTACCATTTTCACAGAAGCTACAATTTTTAAAAATAATGACTAAGAAACACTGGAAAAAATACTAAATTAAAAACCATAAAATTACTTTTAAAAAACATGCAGTCATGTACACAGTCTCACCCTAAGATCTGTGATAAAATATTTTCTGAAGAATAAACAGAAACTGACTTAAAAACAAATCCCAATTCATTTTGGCCAAATCTGTTACATACACAAATAACATATACCTAAACCAGGGAGCAAGTGGTGCTATCTAGAAGTTTACTAGTCCCTCTGCCTGCTTCTCTGGACTGTGGTTCGTTTATTCATTGCCAGCATTAACTTCACTGCTTTTTAAACAGTGGCAGTTTGTGTCATTGGCATTTCATGAACGAAAATGAGGATAATGGATTCAGAATGCTAGAGCAAAATATGAAAAAGAAAAAACAAAACAAAGTTATCACCTAAGCAGGCTAACTTGCCAGCTACTAGCTTCATCTAATTAATCAGTGTAAAGATACAAAGCTACAGCTTTAGTTCATATACTAACAGAATCACCTTTCAATTAGTGGTTTAAAGTATCAAGAGTTTAAGCCATTTCTTTAGACAACATTTCAGTATACTGGAGACTTCTGGTCATTACTGGGTGAGAGCTAAACAAATGCTAATTAAAAATGAAAACTACTCATTGACACCGCAAAACCAGTATCAATTTTATAAATCCATACACGCCTTCTGGTATTGCATCCAAAGTACGAAAATGCTGATTCTCTCTTCATCTGACAACCTTCAACCAACAAAACACTTTTTTTTTTCCTACTGCTATTCAATTAGTTATTTCTTTTTGGAAGTTCAGGTTGTAAGAGAGGGTGGAAAGTTAAAGTTAAACTTCACCCTGAAAACAAATTATGTTGCTGCAGGGCTTTAACAAGAGGGCTTTCAAGGGTTAGTGTGCAAACAAAAACCAAAACCCAATGAAGTGACATGGCCTTAATGTGCTACAGCTGAAGGTTGCCTTTGTAGTAAACTGGGCACACCAGACAGCAGTCTTCTAAGTGTAACTGGCATCTGTCAGTAGTGTTTGTGCTTTGTCAGTTACAGACTTTAACAAAACACTCCCACGGTTAGTAAAAAACAACCTTCAGCTTTGCATAGGGTAATACAGATGCAGTGCAACACAGTGCAGATGCTTTACCTGACTTTTTCTTCCTAATGATAGAATGGTTTGGGTTGGAAGGGACATTAAAGATCATTTAGTTCCAACCCCCCTGCCATGGGCAGGGACACCTTCCACTAGACCAGGTTGCTCAAAGCCTCATCCAGCCTGGCCTTGAACCCTTCCAGGGATGGGGCATCCACAGCTTCTCTGGGCAACCTGTTCCAGTGCCTCACCACCCTCTCCATGAAGAACTTGTCCTGATATCCAATCTAACCCTCCCCACTTTCAATTTAAACCCGTTATGCCTAACACAGCTCTCTTAGCAGTGAGAGGACCCTCAGCACCCCAGGCCAAGCCAGGCCAATGAAGTCAGCAGTGCCTCAGTGCAACGCTGCAGCAGCCCCAGCCAGTATCTCAGCTTCCCGCTGTCTTTCTGAAGAACCTACCTCACGCACATCACGTCAGTGCGGTTCTCTACCCGTCCCCTTCCCGGCGCTGGTAGAGAACGCCCCCGACCGCTGCTCCACGCCATGCTTGTGGCGGAGGCAGACACAGGTGGACACAAGGGCTTTGCAGGGCAGCGAGGCACGAAG